CCACATTGCCACATTAGGAAAGAAAAGCTCTGTCCACGTCTGTCGCCGGGTCTCATCAACCCATGGCCCGGGTATACTGACGCCTGATGGCAGCTCGGCACCACCGTGACCTGTGGCGAGGGCACGGTTTGTATCCCTGACAAATCTTATAGTCGTTGTAGTTGCACCACACCCCGTCATCGCAAAAATGGCCCAACAAGGGGTTGCCTCCTGTTTCGAGATCTCTATTCTCTATATATAAATCAGCCCAGCTTTAAAATGAAGTCCCACTAGAAAGGACTAAGCTCCACTTTGCTCATAGAGCCACAAAAAGGACAAGGACAGAACTACGTGTTGTTTGCTGGTTCTCTGCAACCGGTTTCGCCAAGCGCTCGCAAGTCAGGACAGCCGGGCTGCAGCTTTGACAACGGCAGTCCGGCCACGCAAATGATAGAGCACCAGAGCAGCCATCCTGAACGCGAGGCTTGCAAGAGGGTCACCTCAATGGATTGCAGTTTGTTTGCTGATGTTGCGGCGAGAAAAGCTAAACCAGGCAAACCAAAGCCATTTGAAAGGTCAGCCTTTCGCGAGCCACACGCACAAAAAAGTAATATATATATATATACCTACATACAAACATACATAATCTTATATGATATATATATATATATATGTGTGTGTGTGGGTCCACCACATTAGCTCCAGCTTGGACGTTTTTGAGGGAGGTGCTCCAGCTTTTGTTCATCTCAACTCAGTGCCCCAGCAAAAACCAGCCCAGCCCATCAGCCAATCCCCAGCCAAAAAGGGGCAACACTTCAGGGTTGCAGAAGTGCCGTACCTTCTTTGTTCAGGAGTGCTTCAAGGGAGTTGAATCAAAATCTCTTCAAGGGCAGGGCTTCCGATTCCTTTCGTAGCCTTTCCGCCTCACACCTGTTTTGTCAGACTCAACCAGCAGTCTCTCCCTCCCAGAACAGGAGAGAAGCCCCCCCGACAAGTCCTCCATGTCCAGTGCCATCGTGTGTAGTTCTTGCAGCGATTGCTGAGCAGTGAGCATCCATTCCACACGCTGTGGCTCACCATTAAAAACTTCGGCCTGGTGGACCTGCGTATGGCAGCTTTAATGAGGAAAGGACTCACCCACTTCAGGTATGTGCATTGTCTTATCTTTACATCCCCTTTCCTGTTCAATGATCATGTCCAAGAGCTCTTGGACATCTACGCCTGTACATATAGAGAGAGCGACATGGCAAGGCGTGTCTGCGAACAATCTTGCGCTGGTACACTTCCCCAGTGTGTAGACTCCAGGGAAACCACAGGGTGTCCTATCGTCTTGAGAGAGGCTATATATAAAGTTTAGCTTCACAAAAAAATGTCAATCCTGCCTCAAAAGAAAGTATTTTCCGTGGTTGCATTCTGTTTGTTTGTGTTTGTTTCGCACGAAAATGGAGTTGTTGAACCATGTCCTTTTACCTTTACAAACCAATATTTCACTTGCAACAAGAATCCTGATATTCTGGAATATCAAGAAGTGATGCAAATGCACTTGAACTTTTTGCATGCTTGGAGTGGTTGTATACATTGTAGACTTGGCAAGGGGGCAATGGCAATACCATCTATCTATCTATCTATCTATCTATCTATATATATGTGTGTGTGTGTGTGTGCATTTTGTCTGTATCTGTATGTCTTGAAATATGCTGTGGCTCTTTCTTGCCTCAATACATCCCATCATGAGACGCGCCTCTGGCTTCAGAAAGTAGTTTGGCTCTGCGAGCATGCAGGGCTTGCCCAGCCATTCTTTCCATAGGTCTTCTGACAAGCCTGTCTCAAAGCATGTCAAAGAATACTCTGCATACTGTAGTGGTGCTGAACATTTCAACCCTGCTGAGCCTGGAGGCACTTTGCAAGCCTGGCAGTGTATGGCATGAATCTAGCTGAAAATCTGCTTTGAACTCGACGCTTGACCCGGTTTCTACTGCTCCATACCTTCATACTTGCCATTCAACCAAACTACAGTAACTCCGCTGATTTGCTTTAAGGTCCAATGTTGGATGCCCTTGACATCAGATGGCAAACTGGCAAACTCTTGTCTTCCCCAAATGCTGGAGGCCTCCCAACTTCCAGTTGTTCTTTCTTGTCGAAGGCGGATCCCGGCCACAACACGGTTGAAGTGATAGAAGTCCTCATGTTCAGCTTTTTTGAGGGTCCCTAATCATGCTCCACCATTTTCATGAGACAAATGACCGGTATATAGAGATGGCAACTCTTCACCTCGTTGCAAACCAAGAAATCATCAAGCACGCCACGGCAGGAACAAGCTAAGGTGCATCGCGAACAGGAATGCTGGCATTACCCCAGGGCTCATCAGGAAATAAGCCTGAAGTGTTCTTTAGCGGCTGGTCAGGACACGTCAGCAAATCAAAAACATTCATTGGTTTGCATAGCTGTGCTTGCAGTGTCAATCCAAAACCAGCAAAGCCACCATAAGCCAAGTCCTCAGTTGAGGTAACTTGCGCGTCAACCAGCACCGCGTTCAGGGAAGCCAAACGAAGCATTTAGCAGAGCAACGAGAACAGAAGGAAGCTGGCTAGCGTTGAACGTAGTCTCATTGGCTGCATCTGCATAGCCTGCATCTAGGCCTGCGGAACACATTTCGTGTCTCGTCTGCCGGAGAGGTCAAACACCCACGCACTCCAGATATGGAATACAGGTCCAAAAGAAACCTCGGCAAAAGAAAACCTAAGTATATAGTGTAAAGGGGTCCAACCATCTAAACCTGCAAGGTAACGAAGATCCAAAATCCAAAGCATCCAAGTTCCAAGATGCAAAACATCAAGAGGTTAAAACGACAAGCGCGTGTCTGCAGACCTTTTGCACCTAACCAACCAGACTCGTCACTAAAAGAGAGCGTAACTACAAACATCACAAACAAACGCGAAATGCAGGTAGGTGGATGCCACGTCCGGAATCCATATCAGCAATTCCTAACAGCGTCTTCGTTGGACTTGTCCGAGTCAGGCAGTCTTTCTGCACTCCAATAATTGACAAAAGCCAAAGAGACTGCCAAAAAGCTCCCCATGATTCCAAAGGTTACACCTCTTTTTAGCAAATGCAGTGGACTGCTTCATCATGCACCTCCCCACGCAATATGCACACACCCTCATCTTGCGCCTTCAGACCAGAGCCAAGAGTGTCGTGCCAAGTTTGGTAGCAAGCCAAGCCGGAGCCAAGACCAAAAGTCGGCGATGGAATCCACATCATATACCTCATTCTCTTTTTTGACTCTGACTTAAGGAGAAAGCATGTAAAAATGTAGCAGTAGCAGCAGTAGAATGTTCAGGTGGGTTCTTTAACACGATCAGCTTTGCAACCTGAAGCATCAGTCCCCGCACTGCACCTACAACACAACCGTCACCCTATTTAGCAAGTCATAACCCGGAAAATGACCCCCTAGGATAGCCACTTGGCTCTGGACACGTTCTCTAGTTGCAAAGGGCCCGAAGCGGAGACTAAAATGTTGGGACTAGTACTAGCCGCATCGATAAAAGACTGAACAGCAAGACTGAACTGCAAAACCTGCCTGCCCTCCCTCCAAAAGGGCCCTACAAAAGGCTCGAAGGACAAAGGAGTCCGAAACAAAAGGGAGTGAACGTGCCGAGCGCAAGAGTATGTAGGAGTAAAAGTTGGTAGAACAGCCTTGAATTAGAGCAGCCCATCTCCGTGAAGCGTCTCTCATAACTCCGCTGCCGAATTGCATTCTTGTGGCCAAAGTTTTGAGACCAGGCAAAGTTTGCATTCTCCTCAATTGCCTGCACTGAATGACACTTACCAGTTTGCAAACACGAGAAATTTGGAGCCCAATCCACGAGCTGCGGTCCAGGGGCATATTTCCAAGCAGACTCGACTGTCAGAGTGTAGTCTGGGCGCACGTGCATGAACGTCAAAGCCTCACGTGTTGCCAAGGCGGATGCAACTGAGACACACTAGAGTCACTAAAACTAAAACGTTGCATGTGGTGGCAGCTTGCAACTTGCAAGTCCCCGCGGGCATGAGTTTAGCCGGCTGAGAGCAAAGCAGCGAAACAAAGGAGCATCAGCATGGTCCAAGGCATCTCCTGCACCAGGAAACGGTCAAAGCACTCTCATTGATCCATAGTGGGAAAACTGTGCAAACCAAAACAAAAGTGCTCAGATCGCTCCAAACAGGAGGCTTCGCTTTCAAGCTCCCCTCGAACCCAATCCAAGTAGATGCCAAGTTCCAAGGTACCCTGGCGCAAAGGCCCACAATAAATCCACAATAAATGCTAGCACAATTCCTGCTTCAACAAGCTTCACTCTATATGATGGTCCCACCCGCAAAGCAACTCGACGCTCAAGCCTCATTTGGCACAATCTTTGCCTTCGGAGCCCCCCTCCGAAGGCCTTTTGATCGCACTTTAGCCTTTGTCAAATATGGCCGGCCGTGTTCACAGTCATTGGAATGAACATGAACGCGAAAACTTGCAGCAAAGGCACCCTGGCCCGCTTCATCAGCTGGATTTTTGTTGAACCACAGTCATGAACCCAGCCAGCGTAGCCATGACCATGAGCACCAAGATTAAATCCACCACAAGGAAACTCAAAAAGAATGACAACAAAATGTCTGCTTCAGCAAGGTGTCGGGTGCAATGGTCAATCGCGATGTTTGTGCGTTGTCCTGTTTTTTTGTGTTGATGTGTGTCTGTGTATGTGTATTGGTTGTTTGCTGCTTGCTGTTGTTGTATGTTTTTGTCGCTGTTCTTGTCGTTGTTGTTGTTGTTGTTGTTGTTGCTGCTGCTGCTGTTGTTGTTGTTGTGCTGTTACATGATTTGATGTTGGCGCCCTCCCCATCACTGCCACATCACTCAAACAAATACTGGAAACAACGGCTGCACCAATGAGTGAAGCAAGATCAGCCGATCAGCCCCGACAAAAAGAAACACCGGTCGACTGCTCCACCACAGCCCTAGTCTATAGGTTGTTTTTCCAAATGGTGCACCGTGCCTGACTCCAATGTCTTCACTGGCGCCACCTGCGAGTCTTGGTCGACCCGTCTAAGCAGGAACATCCAAGCACATCAAGCCCTTAACAGGATGTGAGCACGTTTCATGTTTGAGACGTGACACCCAATGCTTTGCATATGCGCAACATCCTACCACTGGATGTGAGCACAGCTCCCAGGCTCAGCTCCAAGGCTCAGCTCCAAACAGGCTGAGGTCCAGTGGAACTCCCACTGGACAACAGTGATGGCAAGGGATTCCTTACCGTCTGTCTTTCCAGTGTTTGCCACGCGACAACGTTCCACTACAAACCATGTGTCGTACCTTGCTAACGGGTGGACTGATGAAATCCATTCTTCTTGCAGAATGGAGCGTTGCCTGACGACAAATCTGCCCATTGTCCGATGTCCGACCCGTCAAAATGACGTTACAAGAACTCAACCCTGCCCTGGCCTCAACAAATGTAAGGTAGCGGCACGCGTCAAGGAAGGTCGAGGGCATGCCTCATGCGACCAATCACTTTTACAAATTTGGCGGTTTTGCTCACAACCAGCTTGCGAACATGACACGTATCCTGCTGCTGAATTGCCTTCTCATCTTTCTCGAAAGGGGGGATGACATTCCGTTCCCGCGCTAATTCCAGGAGGTGCCGCCAATGTGACACCACCCGGTCTGCCTGATCCAAATGCGCAAGTAAGGTTCCAAAGTCCTACTCAAAACTGGTTGTGGCCTCCATCCCCGTTGCCCATGATTAGCGCTCACGCCGTTGTCAGTACAACGTTTTCCCAACACCGGGCCAGATTTGCTTGGGGACACTACTGGTTTGAATCGGTTTGAATGGATCAAATCATGCCTGAAACTGACTAACCTAAAGCTATATATACGCCATGAATCTACGCTAGCACGATTGTCACATGAAAAATTGCGGCAATCCACTTGAGCAATAAATCACTAAGCAGGAAATATTCAATGCGAAACCATGCTGGACCAGCAGTGGAAACACCGCACCACCGACACAACAAATACCCCCGTTGGTGCTGACTATATAAATGCTTACGCTGTATGTTATCGAAACACAAATCCAGCTTGGGACTTCGATCACAACACAATTTTTCTGCACCACTTGAAGGAATGCGTTAGAAATGTCCATGACTGAAACCATCAGGTTCATGGTCACGCTCAATGACAACAGCAGCTTGGTGAAGGAAAGTGGACTGGTTAGACTGAAAGTACCTCCAGTCAAGCACGATCTTTGCGTGAAGTTTCATGGCGTTCTCCACGTTGTCTGTTGACCTAATTTTGCAATCACGGTCAACTCACTTCTGCCAGCATGGCCTGTTGATCTAACATCTGAAGTTTTTCCGGGTTCACCTTTGGTGGTCCTCCTCCTTCATTGAAAAAACCTCGTTTCTCCATCTCTTCTTTGGTCAGCACAGCGTCGGTTTGTGCTGCCCTTGGCTCTCGCCAGTCAATGGCGTCATAGTCTTCACCTTCCACTTCTGCTTCATCTTCAACATACAGCTCAAGTTCGTCTACTTGCCGGACCTGCCTCTCTTGATCTTGACTCTGCTCATGACGTGTTGTGGAAGATGATGTTCTTGCTGTCTTGGAACTAGGCTCGGCAAAGATGTATCTGGGTCGAAATGAACAGCCTTCGGCCTTCTTCTTTTAGTGGAAATGGTCATAACGACCTTGTTGCTGTCTCTCGGCCATCGCTGCTTCAATCTCCTCGACTCTCGACTGACCTCTTCATAAAGGTGTGACCTCCTTCTGAAGATGTTCTCGCTGAAACTGTTGGCAATGAAACTTCTACCATTGGCATAGCAGGTGATGATGCCCCGCCTTGCTTTTGTGTCTCCTCAACTTTAATGTCTTTGCTTTCTTCTGGGTGTTTTTCAGCATACTTCTCAACATCCTCTGCATTCTGATCTGTCTCCTCACTTTTTTTTCTGCTTTATCTTGATGGTTTCGGCGCACATCACTAAGCAATTCTGGGACTGGTGGAGCCATGGGTTTTCTGTCTACTTTTGTATGCACTCCACGATTCATATGTCATGGTCCAACCTGAGCATTCATCAAAAGCTCTCCGTCTCACTGCTCCTGTCTTCCTCACTGCTTTGCACCTCACTACCTCATTCTCACTCACCAAAGCCAGATCTTGATCCATCTGACCCATCTGATCGTGAGATTTGTTTTTGGCCTGTAGAGGATCCAAACCAAGAACTGTCTCGCCAAAACAGCAAACACGTCCTCGATAAGGGCGGCCTTTCACAGACAAGTACGCGGTCATGCCTGTGGCACTGGTCACGTGGTACCTGGTCAGCAACCAGACCAATGCCCATAAGTGCAACACACGCATCCCGTCAAAGATGATCTTTGCTCTGTCTTGGATGTTAGCAATGATTCATAGTCTTGGCTTGTGACCTCATGACCTCACCGTTTGAATGCATCTCTCAGCCTATGATGTCCTCGACTTGTCATAAAGCTTGCCGGCCTGCAGGGTAGTGTACAATCCATTGTTACTTCTGATTGACTTTGTCATTGTTGCACCTGCAGCCAACACTGGTTCATTGTCGAAAGCAAGCTCCACCGGTTCATAGTGTCCAAGTGTTGCAAACAATTCTGCCATCACTTCACACATCACATCTTGGTTCTTGTTCTTCAAAGGCTGTATGTGCAGGTATTTGCTCCACACGTCAACGCACAGCAACAAGCAATTGCCAGGAAAATTTACCCACCTGCACTGTTGGATTCGTTCGTGCTGCAACATCGATGGGAGTTGGCCCTGTTCTTGCCCATCACACAGAACGAACACGAGCGTTCTTTTGTGTTCCACCCAGGACGCCGACAAGCTCAGCTCTATGTACAAACGCCGAACCCCTCAGTGGTTCAGAGGGAGGCGACTAGGTGCCGTGGCGCCGGCCAGGGCGAGGACATCCGGCAGCTTGCGTTCTCGTTCTGAGGGCTGTACTGGAGCATCGATGAACCTGGGTTCTGCGCACAACTTGGCATAGTCTTGCCTCGCGACTTCTAAAGCCCTTCTCTTGAACGATTGCTCGTAGCAGTCTCTGGTCCTGTTGAAGGTCTTGGACTTTGATCCCGATGTGCTCAACTTCAAGCAACCGGCCGTTTCCTTCAAATCGTTCACGCCTGATCTCTCCGTCAGCTGCATCTCACCAACAAACAATGCATTCCTCTTGTCCTGCTGGTTTGAACGTTGGTGCAACGACTGGAACTCAGGAATGTGCTGCTCTTCCATGGCTTCTTCCTCAGCCTCTGCTTCTTGCGGTCCTGCGACTTCCGCCTGGGCCTGCTCTCTGCTGTTGAACCTGTTGCATCTCGCCTGACATTCATTCGTCTCAGTCACTTGTTGAACTCGCTGTGGGCAATCTCTGCTCCAACGCCCGTAGCCGTAGCAAATTTTGCACTTACTCTGGCCAACATCGCCTTTTTTCTTTCCTCCTTGTTTGCCTTTCTGTTTGCCCTTGGGTTTGCCATTCTACTTGCCTTTGTTCCTTCCTTTCGGCTTGCCAACTTTATAGCCACCTCCTTTTCCTTTGGTTTGTCCTCTGCCACAACCACCACAAGGAAACTGCCACCATCCTTTGCCCTTCCCTTTCTCTTCAGTTCTGTCAACCTCCATTGGTGCTGGGCCTCCTGTGTCTGCTGGTTTCATGTTCAACGACTTCATGATAGCCTCCTGCGACCAAATCCTAGTTGCGTGCTCATGAGACAACACGGCCTCTCTGATCTCTGAGTAGCTGGTGGGTTTATTTTCCTCACACCTTTTTCCGCGCACATCCGGTCGATGGCTAAGGGTGACAGTGGTGATGACAGTTTTTATGCTGGCCTGTCCCCAGGCTTGTTGACAGTTTTTATCCTGGCCTGTCCCCAGGTTCGCAAAGTCCAATGGGTGGGTTAGGTGGAAGGGAGACGGCTGGGTTGGGGTGGGTCAGTGGAGGCGTGGTGGGCGAGGAGCTGGCCAAGGGGCAGGGGGTCTCCGTCGATGTTTGCTTGTGGGGGCGGAGTCCAAGCCCTGGAGGGATGCCGCATAAGCTGTGAAAGCCGCATGGGTGAGCATGGCGGACCAGCGGTGAAGCAAAGCTGCCGCGACGGCTTGCCGGAGCAGGGGTGTGGCTTGTCGTGCCCGGTGTTGTGCCAGGAGGCGGAGGAAGGTGCAAGCTTCCTCGCTCCACCGTCCTCCGGTTTCGATCCCCAGGACGACGAGGCGACAGCGGCCGCCACGGGTGAGCTCTGGATAGACCCGCTCTTTGTTGCGGCGAGCGTCGTGCAATGCCTGGCTCTCCCGGGTGAGAGGGGAGACGAGGGTGGTGTCGACTGCGATTTGGCACCCCCCCCACAAAGGTAAACCATTTTCGATGACTTCAATACGGCGGTCATCGAGGGTTTGGACATTGGGTATGTTCAAGTCTGCTACCCGGGTGTTGGCGGTCACCCTGGCCTCGGCCTCACGGCAAATGCGAGCTGCTGCTCATTCAAGTGGCCCGCTGCGACTGCGCAATAGTGCACAAGCTGATCGATGGTCGCCAAGTGTGTCAAGAGTGCGACGGCATCGACAAGTCCTGGTGGACAGGGGGAGGGGCACACGGAGTCTCCGAAGCATAAGCAAACGAAAGCGTTCGGAAGAGTAGGTGGACTCGGCGGTGTATGGGATTCTGGTGAATGCTCGGCTCGCATATGGTCCGGACTGGGAGTCTAGAAGGGCTTGGCTGGCGGGGGGCAGGTGGCTGTACACCTCGGCCCTGCAGGCTTGGTGGGTGGCCTTGGCGGCGGGCTGCTGCCATCCTCGGTGCTGGGGGCCTGGCCTGTTGTGGCCGATTAGGGTGTCCCACGAACGGGGTTCCCAATCGCAAAGCCGAAGGGCTTGTGCAGCGGCCGCTGCTGCTTGGATGGCTGGGGATGCATTGGTGGGGGTCGCGCAGTTGTTGGGTGATGGGGTGGGCCAGGCTGGGAAGCTGTAGGACCCCCAATGCGCCGCACTGGCATTGTAGTTGCGGCAGTCAAGCCTAACCCGCCCTCGGATAAGGGCAAATGAGCGAGGGCCAAAGCACTGACTGGGAGGAGCCCGCTCTGCAGCAATTCTGTCAGGCACGTGGAAACGGCTTCGTCATGGCGTGTGGAGAAGTCAGCGGTAGCTGGTGGCTGGAGCGAGGGCTGGCGCAAAAGAGCAGGAGGAGCCAAGAAGCCTGCAGGTCTTGCAATTCGGGGAGGCTAGACAGGAGCTCTTGATGGGTGGCTGAAAGGTTGTTGAGGTGCTGGCCGGTGAAAACGTCAGATCCCAAGGGCGCCCCCAAAATGATCATGCCTTGCTCTGCTGCTGGCAATCTCAAGTCCCCGACCCACACGTCGGCCCCCAGGCTGGTTAAACTTGGCGGCTGCACGCCGGAGGCATTCCAAACTCTGGCCTTGCCGCGGTGGAGCGGGATATGGGCCGTAGCACTTAGATGCTGTTCCAAAAGGTCGTAGACTGGGCGGACACGGGCTGGTTGGACCAGTGTGTAGATGTCGTCCAAGAAAGCAAAAAGGTGCTCCCCGGGTCGGAGTTGCTCTTGTACAGCTTGCAAGGCGGATCTCTGACCCAACGCGAACAAGGCTGGCATGAGCGGGTCGCCTTGTTCTCCACCTTCGGCTTGAGTGACGGTGTGTGCTTCGCCGGTTGCATCATGCCACACGTATTGGGAAGCTTCGGTGTAGAAAAGCCGAACGAATGGCAAG